CGAGGAACGAAACCAAGACGAGCACATCGCGACCTACATACCAAATACGAGTCTGGTTTCATCGCAGGGGCGTGTGAACTGTCATTTCCGGTTTCGGTAGCTTTCGTGTTGCCTGCAATCGCCGGCGTGCTCTGCTACGGTTGTAGCAAAGCCACCGCCGAAATCGACACCCACTTGGCGGTCATCGCCGATTTTACACTGGCCTTAGAGCCGGCAACTGAATACGGCACACGCACGTTATAATTATGCGGTTATTACCGCGGAACGGTCTGTGCGAAACGCCATTACCACGTCGCTGGCTTTTTTGGCGTTCAACTGTCACCCACGGTAGCGCGGGCAACACGTTTCAGAAAGGGTGCAAGGCGCTGGAAAATTTGCACCACCAAACCAACGGGAGAGTCACTGCAACAAGCCGCTGCGCAGCCGTCAAGGATACTGTAGATCGAGGTCGAACGAACGGGTGCCCTCGTACATGTCCTTTCGATCGGCGTTTCAGCTTGGCAGACAACGCTGCCTCTTGTTCGCTAACGGTCGTTCGCCATAGCCGCACCTCAACGTACAGACGGCTTGACGTTCAACAGACATACATCACATGGGATTCGTAAATCACCTGAAGTCTTTCGTTTCTAAGAGGGATTAAACATCTGGACATGAACCGGAAGTTGAGTTGCTTCCTCCCTCGTTACGTGAGGAGAGACTACTGCTGTACTGGCCCGTACTCACTTCCTCGTCTCACTCACAAACAAAGCAGCTATATCCGAGTATTGCTCACGTTCCTTTGCTACCAGAGCGGATTTTACCGCGAAGATCTGCTAAGACACACAACAGCTATCCCATTGCTAAACTTAAACGAAACATCCTTTGTGATTCTAGACTTCTTTCAAAACACAAAATTTGCCTCATTCTCCTCCAGGATGGTCGCTGTTAGGACTCATTTCAGTTTCTATGGATGTAAAACGCCCGTCGAATAGGGCAGTTAATAGACGTTCCGTTCTTGATAAAATTGCATCAGTTATCACGTCGTTGATGAACCGTTTTTCCTTGCTGACCAGATACAGGTGGTAGTTTGCATTGACAAATACGTGTTGCATCATTACCCGCGCTAGAAGCATTTCATGCTCATCATGAACAATATTTCAGCAGCCGGGGATCGTTATGTGCTACCGCATAAAGATAATAGCATCAAAATCATATCCGCTTACTGTTCATTTACTACTTCCTCACGTTATGAATGATTTTTCACAGAAAAAATGGTCCACTTCGTAAATTAAAACTGTAAATAAACAACATTAGCCTACTGGTTCATAAATTAAGACTTTTTAAATAGAATTACTCATATATTCCTTATGCCTATAGTAAAATCACAATGATATATGTATAAATGCTACATGTCACAGCCGCGTTTTAAAGGACCATATTTCGAACCAATATTTCGCTTGAAATCTCATTGCCTATTTGGCACGGTTCGGTATCGTTGCTGATCGAACCCTCTAGCAACAGCTGCGATTATTTCGTGCCACCCTTCACAGAACCAATTCATGGGTAGCAGAGGAGCAAACGTTCAATTTTTGAATAATCTAATTCCTCGTCGAAACTAGCATCTGAAGTTCTGACAGCAAAATGGAATATCTGTGTTCTTTATGATGGCTCCTTTCTGTTAACTCCGTCAGAAAATCTGGTTCAAACTGAGATGAGCAGCAAATAATCTGTAAAGGTATATAAGTAAAAAAAAGTGCATTTTGGCAAATTCACTCAAAATGGCAAAGACAGTCAAACATGGACTGACAGAAACCGCCTGGAGGAACCGTTTTGGTATGCATTTCGTCTTCTGCCCCTTCTTTTGTCTTCCATTCACTTTTCATGCCTCTTTTTCTACTTTTTTATCATCTATCTGCCCTCTTACCAAAGTTCTCTTCTATCCGTTGGTCGAGACAAATATTTTAGGAAATATTCATGTCTTTAAAATATGGCAAAGATTCCATCGCCATAGTACTATGAGGTATATACGATGTTGATGCGCATATTTTATGGCTGTTAATGTCGCGTTTATACGAATGGAGTACCTGCTCGTTGGCCAGCAACTGAAAAGCGCTGGGAATGGACACATGAATTTTGTTTTAGACTTGATACCGTCGGTCCTAAAAATTTCACTTCTTGACCGTTCCCGAGTATCCTCGTTGAATACCATGGATTAAACCCTAATCCATGGCAAGCACACCCCAGAAACCTGGTATCATGTTTCTGCGAATTCGCTATTTTGTCGTCCAAGAGTGGTCATAAGTTTGCAAAGGTTACGAGGAGAGGGCAGCAAAAACGCCGTGGCGTCTGCGAAGGCCACTTTCTCTTCGTTTCCAGCTTTCGCTTTCACTTTTTATTTAATTTGGCTCTCCTCTGTCCTTCAACGTTGTAGCCAGTTCCGTAATTTGAGAGGAAATGGCCTTCGCGAAACTTGCGAGGACGTCATGCTATTAGCGAAGAAAACTTTCTCTGAGGCACGCTACCAAGTCACTCACATTTTTGGTGTCATTGTACTTCGATTGTGCTTAGACGGCAAGGTAAATTGAGGCAAATGCCACCCGAAGTGTTCTTGTCAAGGACGAGGTGAAAGGGTGCGGATTTGCGAACGACGTCGGTGAAGTCCATTAGCACAATAGAGCGATTCTCCAGCTGACGAGGACGCATTCTTCCTCATCTCTGGATCCAAATGAAAGTTGTTTTGTGGTTAAACTTAAAGCTAAAAAATTCAGTCAAGGCACTGACAGTGAAAAGGATGGTAACCTTGCAGGTTTCGCTTTCGAATCTGGATTAATCTTTATGGGATATGGCGACGTTATAGTTGTAGTACGGTGCTACATTCCTCATGAGCCCTGCAGCGTTAATGAGGTCGTCCAAACAAGGACACGGGACGTCGGTTATGACTGCAAACTCTTAAATACTTTGGGAAGCATTGCTCCTGTAAGTGCTAGTAATAGGGCAAACTCGCAGCCTCTTGAATTTTGCTCATCATTCATTTCAAACCAATTATTTGAGTGCTGTCACTAGTTTGTCTATTTAGCTTAAAGACAAAGCTAAATTTGCCTCCTGAGGAACTTCGTAGGATTTAGACATCTCTATGAAACTTGCAGCTTAATGATCTTGTAAGTCCTTGGAGTCGAATGGGAGATCGTGGCTGTGAAGATTTCCGCCTCACACTCTGGGAATGGCAGTAGAAAGGATGGCAGAGTGTCTATCTCTTGCTGAAACGAGATTGAGGAAGACCTGAAATGAGTTACAGCAATACGAAAATGAGGTTTACACCAAGCTGAATATATCCTCTGCCAACTCTCCAACATTTAGTCCAAGTTCGGTGTAAGATGACACCCGTGACGATTTTGCTAGACTGGTGCTAAGA